AAAGTTATAGAGTCTACAAACTATGGCAGGGCTTGAAAAAGCCACTCGCTCCCGCTCGCCAAATGCGAGGAGAAATTCCTCTGTGGCGAGCGGCTGCGAGCGGTGAGCACAGATGAAGCATGGAGCGACAGCACCTGCGCTCCAAGCCACGTTGTGAAGCCGAGTTCCGGTTTACAACTTCCGTTTTTCCGGCTTCTGCGGCACCGCCGCCAAGAGGACAGGTGCAAGAGAGGTCCGCTCTCCTCCACTGAGAGGAGACACCCTCTCCACCGCCGCGGGGGACTCAGGAGGACAGTAAGTACTGTATACATGTCATATCACTATAATGGAGTACAGGGGAGCTGGGATATACATTACTGTATACATGTCCATATCACTTAATGGAGTACAGGGGAGCTGGGATATACATTACTGTATACATGTCACATCACATATAATGGAGTACAGGGGAGCTGGGATATACATACTGTGTACATGTCACATCACTATAGTGGAGTACAGGGGAGCTGGGATATACATTACTGTATACATGTCCTATCACTATAATGGACTACAGGGGAGCTGGGATATACATTACTGTATACATGTCCTATCACTATAATGGAGTACAGGGGAGCTGGGATGTACATTACTGTATACATGTCATATCACTATAATGGAGTACAGGGGAGGGGGGATATTACATTACTGTATACATGTCATATCGCTATAATGGAGTACAGGGGAGCTGGGATATACATACTGTATACATGTCATATCACTATAATGGAGTACAGGGGAGCTGGGATATACATTACTGTATACATGTCCTATCACTATAATGGAGTACAGGGGAGCTGGGATATACATACTGTATACATGTCATATCACTATAAATGGAGTACAGGGGAGCTGGGATATACATTACTGTATACATGTCCTATCACATGGAGTACAGGGGAGCTGGGATATACATTACTGTATACATGTCCTATCACTATAATGGAGTACAGGGGAGCTGGGATATACATTACTGTGTACAACATGTCCTATCACTATAATGGAGTACAGGGGAGCTGGGATATACATACTGTATACATGTCATATCACTATAATGGAGTACAGGGGAGCTGGGATATACATTACTGTATACATGTCCTATCACTTTAATGGAGTACAGGGGAGCTGGGATATACATTACTGTGTAAAGTTTTTATATTTTGGACTATTTATTCTAAAGAAAAATGTAATTTCATAAGCTTTAAGGGGGCGTGGTTTGGGGCAGGGGTGGGGTTTGGAGCAGACCAGGGTGGGGTTGGGTGGGGCAACTGGTGAAGAGTAAGTTTTGTGACCGGCTAGTAGGTCTGGACTCGAAATTTTAACCATGAACTATGGTATATGTATTGGAATTTATGTAGCTTTTTCTTTCGGACTGCCTATCACATTTCTTGAGGTGCTAAAATGCCAAGGCAGTACAAACCCCCCCCCCCCCAAATGACCCCTTTTTGGAAAGTAGACACACACCAAGAATTTTGCAGCTGAGAGGCATGTTGAGTCCATGGAACATTTTATATTTTGCCACAAATTTTTTGAATATGACAATTTTTTTTTACACTTAGTTGTCACTTTAATGATATATTGCTCATGCATGCCAAGGGTATATGTGGAATAACACCCTAAAGTACATTTTCCTACTTCTTCCGAGTATGGGGATACCACATGTGAGAGACTTTTTGGCAGCCTAGCTACATACAAGCCCCCAAAATCCAATGACCACCTCCAGGCTTTCAAAGGGCAGATTTCCTCATATCACTTCCCCACTACCTATCACAGTCTCGGAGGTGACAGGATAGTACAAAACACTCCCCCCCAAAAATGACCCCTTTTTGGAAAGTAGACACCCCAAGGAATTTTTATAAGAGACATGTTGAGTATTTTACATATATCATTTTTGTCACAGGGTTTTGAAGAAAAAAAAAAAGAAAAAATAAATTTTTTGTTTTCTTTCTTCGTTTTCAAAAAACATGTGGCAACAAAGGAGATCTGCAAAACAGTTGCCATGCCTCTTAGCAAATACCTTGGAGTGTCTATTTTCAAAAAAAGGGGTCATTTGGAGGAGTTGCTACTATCTGGCATTTTAGCTCCAACATTAGACGCTTATGCCACACATCGCCCACTCTTGAAGACCACTTTTTGTTCACATGAAAAAACATTTTTTTTGCTAGAAAATTACTTTGAACCCCCAAACATTATATATTTTTTTAAAGCAGAGGCCCTAGAGAATAAAACGGTGGGTGTAGAAAAATTTTTTCTGTCACACAGTATTTGTGATTTTTCAAACGCAAATCTTTTAGGAAAAATACACTTTTTGGAATTTGAATGCGCAAAAACACAATATATTGCCCAAGTGTTTGATAAAATATAAAAGAAGATGTTATGCTGAGTAAATAGATACCAAACATGACATGATTTAAAATTACGCATGCTGTGCAATGGCAACAAAGTACATACATTTTTATTATTGATAGGCAGCGCTGTAAAAGCCTTTACAGGTCACCAATCTATATTTACACAGGAGGTCTAGTGCTAGAAGGTCTAGTGCTAGAATTACTGCCCTCAATCTGACGTTCACGGCGATACATCACATGCATGGTGCAACCGCTGTTTACATACCTCCACGGGGTCAATGCTTGCGCACGCAGGTGCGCACGCAGGGAGGCAAGGGTGCTTTTTTTTTTTTTGTTATTTTGATTTTTTTACTTATTTTTACACTGTTCCTTTCATTTTTTTTTTTGTAATCACTTTTTAATGCTATCACAGGGAATGCAAATATCCCCTATAACTTCAATGGGCATTGTCATATATTCTTTTTTGAGAAATCTGGGGTCTATCAGACTCTAGATATCTCCTCTGCCCTTACATTATCTAATCTCACCAAGATCGGTGTGATCAGAAGCTTTCCCAATTTACAAATGGTGCTGTTTATATTCTGCAAAAACTGAAGTGATGAAATGCTTGTAGCTTCTGGTCTCTTAGACTATAGAGATGATTGGAGCCATTATGGTCTCTGACCAGCTCTATGGTCAGCCAGCTGAACTGCCAACTGCTGGTCCATGTTGGGCATATATGTAACAGCAGAGAACACGGACATACGATGAATTGGCTCTGTGGATTAACATGACCGCAATTCATTCTTTTCTGTAATGCCCATGTTGAGGGTTAGGTCCAAAAGAGTTTTTAAATTCAGAAACCGTGGTTTCCATGCGAATTGTCTGGAAAGAGCTGAATTTGGGTAGGTGGCCATGTATTGTTGTGCGTATAAATTGCCTTGGCCCACAATCAATTGGTACAAACCCTCCGTGAAAAACAGTGGAAGGGGCTAAACACTAGTTTAAAACACAGAGAACGGGGCCGATCCTGCTAACTCTGCGTTTTTGAGGACACTATACAAAGGAGGCACTAGTATAGTTCTGTACATGATCAATATCTTGATCCTTACAAACACTATACTATTAATGGCGGTGATCAGCGATCTATAGCGTGAGTGTGATAGTGTACGGGCAACCTAACGCTAGCTGACCCTGGCTGGGAGGGGCGCTAACTAACCCTGACGTTATCTGATGTCGCTAGTGGCAGTAACACAGTGATCAGTGAAAAATTCTATATACTGTATATACTGACACTGTACTAATGGCAGTGGTTGGGTGACAGGGTGATCAAAGGGTTAATAGGTGTGATCAAAGGGTTAAATTTGCTAATCTAACGTGTGTGTGTGTAAAATGTAGTGGTGCTATTACTCGATGCAGTGTTCTCACTTCTCTCCCTGGACCGACGGGGTGGAGGGGCAGCGGGGGGCGCAGGTGCGTTCACACCCCAAAATAGGAAGCGACGCAAGATTTGCCAAGAGCTGCTGCTTGCCTGCAATATGCAGATAAGTGGTTGGCAAGTAGTTAAAAAACAAAACAACTCTTTACTATGGTTACATTGTACTACTGTGTGTGTGTGTGTGGGGGGGGGGGGGGGGGGTGATCAGGGATATTTTTTTTACACTTTTCTTTACAGGAGAAATAAAGATAATTTCTCCTGAAATGTGAAGCTTTGTCAGAACTGTCATGAATGAGTTAAGTTTTGACAGCTCAGGATAGTGATCAGTGATTGGCTGGAGCTGGTCACATGGTATAGGGTGCTATGATTGGCCCCATGTATCATGTGACAGCTGTTGGCCAAGCACAGCTCACTAGGAAAAGAAGCAGGGCATGAATGAGATTGATTCATAACAGCTTTGCTTACATAATGATCATGTGATCGCATAGCGGGTCCCGTTCACTGGGATCTTCATTCCGCTGTGGACCAGGGGCGGACTGACAACTCATGGGGCCCCTGGGCAATAGGGGATCATGGGGCCCCTGTGTCCTTGCCCAAACTTAAAAAAGCCTATGAAAAAGGTACCAGGGGCATCCCATGGAGCCCCCTACTGACCTGGGGTCAGTAGGGGGCTCCATGGGATGCCCCTGGTACCTTTTAGTGCCCGAGTTTCCAAATGGTCAGTCTGCCCCTGCGCCGGACACAGCAGCTGTGTGTAGGGAGCGAAGCGCCCCCCTGTGTTAGTATAGCCAGAGCAACGTATGGGTACGTCGCTTTGCCTGTAGCTGCCACTCTGCCGCAGTACATTGCGGGCAGGCGAGTGGGAAGCCGTTAACTGACAACTGTGTGGTCATGCAACACTGCACCCAAACCTCTGCGGTTTTTACTTTTTGCGCTATAAACAAAAAAAGAGCGACAATTTTGAAAAAAACAACCCAATTTTTTTTTCTTTTTTGTTATAAAACATCTCCAGTAAAAAAAATTTAAAAATCAAATTTCATCATAAATTTAGGCCAAAATGTATTCTGCTACATGTCTTTGCTAACAAAAATCCCAATATGTGTAAATTAATTGGCTTACGTGAAAGTATAGCATTTACAAATGGCGGCATATATACTGGAATTTTTTATACTAGTAATGGCAGCGATCAGCGACTTATAGCGGGACTGTGGTGGGCATTCTGACACTGGTTGGGAACTGTCACTGACATCCCCACTGACACTAATACAGTGATCAGTGCTAATAAAAAGCACTGACACTGTATTAATGACACTGGGCATGAAGGGATTAACATCTGGGGCGATCAAAGGGTTAACTGTGTGCTGTTTTACTATGTGTGCTGTGTGTGTTTTACTGTGTAAGCATGCTGCTTTGTATTGCTCTGTTATACAGAGTAAAACAAAGCAGCATGCTGGAGCTGACAGGGGAGAGATCTGTATTGTTTACATACAGACCTCTCCTCTGTGAGTGTTCTTTCGGCAATCGCTGGTGGAGAATCTCTGGCCAGGACCCGGTGATTGACAGCCATAGCAACCAATGGCAGCAAAAGTACGTAGAGGCGGCGCGTGCTATTTATTACCACATAGTTGTTTGGCTCCTTTTTAAATCATAATGGTAAGTGAAATCATCCAAATGGCCCTGATCAAATGTTTACATATCTTGAAATGTTTCTCGGTGGTGCATACACACAAGGTGACACACACAGGTTAAAATGTCAATTAACCGTTTCAATACTGTGCAATTTTACACCTTCCTGCCCAAGCCATTTTTCAGGTTTCAGCGCTCTCACACTTTGAATGACAATTGCGCGGTCATACAACATTGTACCCAAACTAAAATTTTATCATTTTCTTCTCACAACTAGAGCTTTCTTTTGGTGGTATTTAATCACCGCTGGGGTTTTTATTTTTTGCTAAATTAACAAAAAAAGACCAAAAATTTTGAAAAAAAAAAAACACATTTTTCTTTGTTTCTGTTATAAAAGTTTGCAAATAAATAATTGTTCTTCATAAATTTAGGCCGAGATGTATTCTGCTACATGTCTTTGGTGAAAATAACCCAAATTAGGATGTATTTTTTAGTTTGTAGGAAAGTTATAGAGTTCACAAACTATGGTATAGATCTGATTATTGATCAATCCTGAAGTACTGACGGCCAATCTAATTTCTTGAGGTCCAAGAATGTCAGAATAGTACAGATATCCCCAAATGACCCCTTTTTGCAGAGTAGACAGTCCGACGTACTTCATAAGAGGCATGGCGAGTTTTTTGAAGTTGTATCTTTTTGTCATAATTTTTCGGAAAATGAAAAAATGAAAAAAATTATTTTCACTATTTTTTTTTTTACATACTTTCACCAGTGCAGTACAGCGTCATCATATAACTGGCATGGCGGTGAACAGGGACACTGACTGGTGACAGTATGAAAAAATATATATATATATTTTTTTTTTACATTTTTTTTTTATTTTTTTATTATATTTAATTTTTTATTACATTTTTTTTTTTTTTTTTTTTTTTTTTAAGATTTTTTTTCATATTTTACTATGACCAAAGTAGTACAATGTTACCATAGTAACATTGTACTACTTTGGGGAAGTGATCAGTATTTTTTTTTTTTTTTTTTTACACAATTTGCTTATAGCAAAGAATTACTTTGCTATAAGCAAGCATTCAGCTGAATGAAATCGATTCATTCAGCTTTTTTTTTTTTTTTTTTTTGTGCTTAGCTGTGATTTGGTCACAGCTAATCACATGACATGTGCATGTGATTAGCTGTGACCATTCACAGCTAGGCACTAGTATACAATGGATGGCATCATGAATGCACAGCACTGTCATGTGACTTGCTGTGATTGGTCACAGCAGGTCACATGGTACCAGCAATGGGAGCCGGTACTCGGATCTGTCATCGGCCGTGTCCGAGGTGCACGGTCGGTGACAGATCGCACTGCTGCGCCGTTCTGCATTAGCGCAAACGGCGCATGTGCGGGAGCACGCCAAATGGCGTGCACTCGGAATGCAGGGACACATTTGAACCGCCAAACGGCCATTGGCCGGGCGGCTAATGGTTAAAGGATAATTTCCCACATCTGTGGCTATTCAAATTGCAATTAGTGTCTGTGTATATACTGTATAGTCAATGAGTTTGTTAGCTCTCACGTGGATGAACTGAGCAGGCTAGATACTGAGCCATGGGGAGGAGAAAAGAACTGTCAAAAGACCTGCATAACAAGATAATAGAACTTTATTAAGATGAAAAAGGGTATGAAAAGATATCCAAAGGCCAGTCAGTACTGTTCAATCAGCTATTCCACTTAAGACGTGGAAAGTTAAGACTTCCAGTTCTGGCACCGTATGGAGCGGAGGTGAGCCATCCCTGCTTCCGCCACCCTCCTCCACCACTGCAGTCCTAAGCCTGCTATAACTCGGGGGGGCCGCCCTCCCTTCCTACCCACGGCTTTGGGGGACCATATGGACTGCTTTGCAGAGCGGTTCCACGCCCGCTCCTCTTCTGTCCCCTGCCTGTCACAGGGGGACATAGTGGCTGCGGCTGCCGCTCTCAGCACACACACTGACACAGGGGATCAGCAGAGCCCAATGCAGCCGCAGCCTCCTGCTTCCCAGCCTTCAGAGCCTGCCTCACCAGTGGGCATTGCCCACGCAGTCATGGCACTCCTAACACCTACTCTCACGGCAGCGGTCAATAGTGCTGTTCTTAAAGGGCTAGAACAGCTTCATAAAGATCTCCATGCACAGGCTCAGCGCATTACACAGATGGAAGATAGGAACTTCTCCATTGAAGACGATGCATTGGCAGTTTCTGCCGCAGTAGCCAGACTCACCACGGTCCAAAGAGATCTTCAAGAAAAGGTAGACGATCTTGAAAACCGCTCTCAAGGTGGCACGATTTGTGCATCATAGGCCTGCCCGAGATGTATTCTCCCTCCATGCTTCTCAATGCTACATCCATTCTGGAGCAACTAGGCCTGCGATATCCCTGTGCGGTTGAAGGGGCCCACCATAATGGTCCACCGTCCGATTCTTGTACTAAACCTAGGCTGGTGATTGTAAGCTACCTGAACTACGCTGACAAATAGGCCACCCTTCAGAAATTCCGGCGCACACATGCTTTATCTGTAGTCGGGCACCAATTGCTCTTGTTTGTGGACTACTCAATGGAGGTCATGCGCCAACGTAAGGCCTTCTCTACGATCTGCTCCACTCTCTATCACAGGCAGGTTAAATTCACTCTGGTATATCCTGCTGTCTTCCATATTCAACCACTGGACAGAGAAAGGCTATCCTTCACCTCGCCATCAGAAGTGGAGCAATACCGCAACAGCATCCCTGAAGCCGCCGTGGATCAAAGTCCTTCTTCTGCACAGTCTTCCTCCTCCCTCCCCTAGGGGAAACTATGTGCTCTTCCTGAATCAACCCCCCAAGTCCCCAAGAGCCACCACATAAACGGGTTCGCTTTGTTCGGGCAGAAGACCGCTACATTATCCGCTGACCTGTCTCATCGGATTCTATGTAATGGTTTTCCTTGTTTTTATGTGCTTTCTCAGGGACTATTGTAATTTGTCATATAGTGGTTAATGACTGCTCCTTGTTTGTTTTGTTACATGCCTCCCCTGTGGCGATCCACCCTATTGTAATTTGTCATATAGTGCTTAACGACTGCTACTTATTCTTCCCCCTTTTGCCATTCCTCCTCTCCCCCTACTCCTTTCTCCCTTCCCTCTTCCTCCCCTCCCTCCCCCTACTCATTCCACCCCAGCTCCTCCCCCTACCTACTATGTAGAATGACCATTTTCGATATGGCCATCTCCAACCATTGTGCCATTCTATTACAGCTGTCTCGGTTGAAAACTCCAAAATCCCCTAGCCAATAACAGACTTCAACTCTCATCTCTATGCAGCATGGCAGGAATTTGCGGACACAAACAGAGCACATTCAACCAATCCTATTCTATTTTGGGAAACTGGGAAGGTGTTCCTTAGAGAGTGCATAATCTCCTATACCACGCAATTTATGAAACGTTACCAACTGCTTTACCAATAGACTAGTGAATCTCTTCGTCAGGCACATATTTGCACTCTCCCTCAATCGTACACCCGAGAACAGGCTGAATTGGCAATCTGCCACACGAGCCTTTGAATATTTGGCTGAACATCAGGAAGCAGCCAAATTGGCCTTTTCCGCCTTAAAATTTTATAGATATGGCAATAAGTCAGGAAAGCTGTTAGTGCAGGCCCTCGTACTCCTACTCATATCTCTGAACTCCGGTCTCCCGCGGGGAATGTTTTAACGCTGTCCTCTGATGTTAATGACCTTCTCACGTACTATTACACTTCCTTGTATTCAGAGGACCCGATTGACTCTAGAGCTGCTGAGGACTTTCTAGCCTCAATAAATCTGCCTAAGCTCTCCGGATCCCACCTAAGTGCCTTAAATGCTCCCGGGACGACATTTGTGCCACTATCAAACATCTACCCTCAGCTAAAGCTCCTGGACCTGACGGTCTTAGTGTGGAATTCTGTAAGTTGACTTCGAAATTCATCCCAGACACTCTGTATCACATCTATAAGGCAACGTGGGAGGATGGTCCATATCTCCTGACTGGCTCCCAGGCGCATATGAAGCTCATAGCTAAGAATGGGAAAGACCCACTGCTTTCAGGATCTTACTGACCTATCTCTTTAATTAATGTAGACACCAAAATACTTTCCAAAATCATGGCATCCAGGTTGGCCCTACCTCTTCCCGACATACTACATCCAGCCCAGCCTGGGTTTGTGCCAGGTCGCTCGGCAACGCTCAACATTCGCAAAGTACTATTAGCAATGGAACATTCTAAAACACACCCACAGATTGACCTAGCACTTATATCTTTAGACGCTGAAAAAGCCTTTGATAACATAAGCTTTGCCTGGCTCTTCATGGTTATGAGGCTTGGTTTTTCAGGCCCCATTTTGGACTTTTTATGGCACATGTACTCCTTGCCTACAGCTCCTTGCCTACACCTGATTTTATTTCCCCGAGCAGTCCCTTAACCAAAGGCATGAGGCAGGGGCTGCCCGCTCTCCCCCCTCCTCTTCAACATCGTCCTTGAACCTTTGTCCAAATTACTTAATTCGAAGTCTGGGGTTAGGGGTGTCACGATTGGCAACCTTACACTCCGCTCAGCCCTCTATGTGGATGATATATCACTGTTCTCTTCAGATCCACCCAAAGATTTCCTACTACTTCAGGATCTGTTTGCAACCTTCCGTAAATGCTCTGGCATAAGAATCAATTTTGATAAGAGCGAAGTACTCCCTTTGAATTCTATTACCTCAACGTGTTGGATTCCTTCCTCTCCCTTTAGTATAGCTACACAATCCCTTATGTATTTGGGCATCCACATAGGTAGAGAACCATCATCTCTCTATTACCTAAATTACCCTCCTCTAATCAACAAGATTGTACAGGAACTGGAAACTTGGACGATTCTTCCCCTTTTACTCTTTGGGA